ACCCAAACACACAAAAAGTCAACGTCAACATTTTTTGTGGACAACACAAACTTTATATATATATATACACACACACATATGCATATATATATATATGCATATTTACATATATACACACACACAAACATATATATATATATATATCTAACAAATCAGCTTGTATCAGTAAAAAATAAAAACAGAAATAAATTATTTAAACTGTTTTTGACCACTCCATGAGGTCCTAAAACATCATTTTACTGGATAATTTTTTTAAATATCTTCATTTGTATTCCACAGAAAGTCATAAGGGTTTGGAACAACATGATGTGAGTAAATACTGACAAAATATCCATTTTTGGTTGAACTATCCTTGTTGAAGTGTCCAAACTTTTTGGGTACACTTTATGTAAATCTACAGAAATGCTCCTAGATTAACAGCTGACAGCAGCCGTGGGCTCCATATGGTCTTCTGGACTTCTCAAGAGAGACTTTATTTTTTAAAAGGCACTGAAATGATGCTGTACGCTCAACTTTCTTTGTTTGAAAAGGTCATTGGTGTGTTATGGAGAGCGGCGTCTGAGCTAATTAAAAAGTCAGGCTAATTCTGTATGCCGAACAGCATGGAGCTTCACTGCGGCTGCTTCACAGACCGCTGTGCAAAGCAGGACGGATGGATGAGAGGCGAACCCCACCTGGCAGCTGCCCATCCATCCATTCATTCACTGCTTGTCCCTGCCGCTCACTGGGGAACAAAACCATCTTATGGACAAACCGAGCTTTGCGTCACGGGGTCGTACGGCTTGGAAGCCACAGAAGTCGCCACTAAATTCCTCTCGTGGTGACTTCTGGGAAACTTGAAACAAGAAAAGATATCTCTCACGCGTTGCTTTGTCATTGCGATGGCAGGTACAAAGAGTCGTGAGGGGAAAACAAGTTTAAGTCAGACAGGCTGTACTGACAGGCAACAAGGAAACAAGTACAGCCTGTCACCTAAACAGACAACATGAAGAAAAAAGACGTCCAAAACTCTTCTATTTTCTCTCTGGAAATAAAGGTGCACTCATTTTGTGTCCATGTTCCCTTGTGAAAAAAAGTACACTTTGGAATGCTTTTAAAATGAGATAATATAGTAAAAAACAATATACTTAAGTGTGACCTGAATGTAATCTTTTCGGACACTTAACTGCATGTTAATTGCAATTAAATGAAAATTTATTATAGTTTAAGCTTATAATAAATGCATTTTAAGAGTGCATTTTAACCCACTTAAGTAGGACTACAAAAGTACATTTTATATGTAATTTCATAATTGCTTCTATTGCTTGTGAAATATCAATCATTTATGGTAAACTAAAATACACTTTAGTGCAATTCCTTTGAAACTTTTAAGTTACGTATTTAGATATATTTGTTAATTAACATTTGTAATGATGAAGTTATAATTTAGTATGTTTAAAATATACTAAGTTTAAAATAACACACTACAGTTAAAATTATATTTAAGTACTTTACATGTGCGTATGTTAGTCAACACGTAATAATATAGTGTGTTTCTATAAAGCACAACAAAAGATTATTAAAACATCTTTTAAAAGGCACTTTTAATTTGATATTACAAAGTGCACTTTTTAAAAGTATACTTAAGTGTGTTAAGAAACAGTCATGAAAGTGTCTGTCTTTAAGTCACTTAAGTGGCCTTTTATTTCATTAATATTGCATTATCTGCAAGTAGTTTTTAAAAAGAATAAGTGCACATTCAACACAATTAAGCATATTTTTTTGTCATGTTGACCAATATGCCTTATACTGACACCTACTGGCACGGAGGACGCTTCACACAAAAGCATTAGTTATCAATGCTCTGTTAAACAATGATTTTTTATTTTGTGGCCAGATGTCCAAGTGGGTATCAACAAAGCAAGTAGTATCCAGGAGGTCATGTGATCTCAACATGTCTGCCCCCACGAGGCCACTCACCGCATGTCAAATAAATCATCGTTTTTAGGCTCCTGACTGAAGTCTTCATCTCATGCGAGTGCACATCACTTTAAACATATTTACCAAAAGCACTATTCGTTCAAGTTTCAAACTTTTTTAATGAGGAAAAAATTAGCCAGTGCACCTTTAACTGATTTCTCCAGTTCATTTCTGCAAAGCCACCGACTCTGCCAATTCGATCACGTTCATAGACGGAGTTGTTCATAGAACAAAGTTCCCTAATAATACCACATTCCCCAAATGTGTTTGTAATGTGGGCAATCAGTTTCAGTAATGGATGCTTGTCAGTTTTATGGTGGCAGAAGGACAGTCTTGTGACAGGTGAGCATCTGATCTGTGCTTCAGTCAAAGTGCTTTACTGCCCTCTTGTGAACGGAGGCTGTAAGTATTTGAAGCTGGTGCTTGAATGACCATTTTAGAAAAGTAGGCCTATGTGGGCACTTGTTAAATGGCCAATATAAGCCATTAAGAAAGGACTTTGAAACTAAACTAAAATCTGTTCATTAGTGGTGCTTTGCCAAGTCAAGCATCACTATTTCTATTGCTCATATTTAGGTTAGTGATTTGAAACAAAATAACTGGAAGGTTAAAGTGTGCTGTTACTTTTCTAAGTGATCAGACTTACAAATTTTGCCTGGCTGGCAGGCAGTAAAATGGAAGAAATTGGGGCAGAACCCTAAATAAAAAAAACATCATAAGAGAGATTTGACTTTACATAGCAATGTATAAACCACTTAGCAACTGCATAACAACATACCACTCCAGTGCATCACTTAATGTCTTGTGAAGCCAAAAGCTGCGTGTTTGTAAGAAACAAATCCATCATTAAGACGTTTTTAGCTTTAAACTATTGCTTCCAGCTAAAATATAATCCATAATCCAAAAAAAATCCATTCCATGTTGTCTATCACATCAAAATCCTCCCACACATTTGTTTAGAGCTATTTTGGACTGTTTTGGCTTGTAAACAGTGCTTGATCTGTGCAGATTTCTGTCCTGATTCAGACGAGACAACTTTTTCACTGGAGAAATAATATTATGGATTATGGTATTTTAGCCACAAGCAACGGTTTGAAGTTAAAACATCTTAATGATGGATTTGTTTTTTACAAACATGCAGCTTTTCACTTCACAAGACATTAACTGATGGACTGGAGTGGTGTGGATTATTGTGATGTTTTTATCAGCTGTTTGGACTCTCATTCTGACGGCACCCATTCACTGCAGAGCATCCATTGCTGAGCAACTGATGCAATGCTACATTTCTCCAAATCTGATGAAGAAACAAACTCATCTACATCTTGCATGGCCTGATGGGGAATACATTTTCTTTTTTGGGTTAACTTTTCCTTAACGTCTCATCTGAACACCTGCTAAATTAATTAAAAAGCAGCATATCTCTAACACTACGAATGCTGCTTATTAATAATGAAATGTATGAACATTCTGTGCTGATCCTTAAAGAGTGCTTGACAAAAATGGCCTAGCTAATAGTTTTAGTCTATTCTGAACGTTCCTGATCAGTTCACAAGAGAGTCGGTTACATTAAAACCAAGTGGTTACATTAACACATTTATTCAATAAAAAACTACAGCTAAAGGCTATCCCTTGCGGGGGGGGGGGGGGAAAGTACACTTTAGCATACTTTTAAAAACAGCGCTTATCACAAAAATAATATAATTTAAAAGAATATGCATGTGAAATTAATGTTTTTGGACACTTAATTATATGTTAAATGCAAATAAAGTGCTTTTTTGACCCACTTAAGCAGGACTTAAGTAAATTTTTATATGTAATCTCATAATTACTTCTATTGTCTTAAAATCTGGTTAAACTACTGCTGACAATCATTTATGGTAAACTAAAATATAATTTAATGTAATTTCTATTGGAACTTGTGTTTAAATATATTTGAAATTGCACATTTGTAATGATGACATTACAATTTAGTACTTTTAAAATATATTAACTACAATATACAGTAATTACTTAGATTCAAGGCTACGATTTTATCCTATAAACTAAAAGATAGTCAATATGTATACGGGTAAAAATAATAATTAACACAAGCCAAAAAGAATAATTTCAACAAATGGAAAATGAAAAGCACAAAAAATGTGATCGACATATAAGCACTCACCTGGGAGACTCCAAAGCCCGGAAATTTCAAGAGTCTTCAGCTTTCTCTCCAAATCAGCAACTCGGTTTCCCAGAATTCTATAAAGCACAATAAAATTAATTCTGTACAGATGATTACTATTATATATAGAAGCCCGTTTCCGCCACTGAATAAAAAATAAAACAAGGTAATTGCGACTTTTTATCTCAGAATTCTGACTTTAATTACGAGTTCATATCTTGCAATTTTGACTTTACTAAAGTGCGAGTTATAAAGTCAAAAGTGCGGGTTAACTTATAAAAGTCAAAATTGCGAGTTATAAAGTCAAAATTGCGAGTTATAAAGTCAAAATTGCGAGTTATAAAGTCAAAAGTGCCAGTTATAAAGTCAAAATTGTGACTTATAAAAGTCAAAATTGCGAGATATAAACTCGCAATTCTGAGAAAAAAAAGTGTTAGAATTCTGAGATAAAAAGTCGCAATTACCTTGTTTTATTTTTTATTCAGGGGCGGAAACGGGCTTCCATAAATGATAACATGAGACATATTTTTCTAATAATTTTGTGAATGCAACCTGCAGGTATTAAGATAAATGATGTAAAATTATGTAAATAAAATAAAGATTATTCGAGTATGTTTTACAATTTTTTTTATTTCAGTCTTCCTACTTAATTTCAAGCTTAATTCAATGTTACTTGCAATTTCCTTGTAATTAATGTAATTAATTGTGATTTGTAATTCCGGAGTGAAATTGTTTCTACATTTTTTTTTATTATACAACTTTTGTGATAAATGATAAAACAGTCCGTGCAAAAGCAGTTACAAACAAACCTGTTGGTCTGTCTTTGGTGCTGAATGATTATGTTCTTCTCATGAATGGTCTCCAGTAAGGCTGTGGCTAAAGACTTCAGGTCTGAGATAGACTGAGGTGTGGCTGGTAAACTGCAACCATTATCCTCGGACAACAAACCCTGCACTGCAATCATCAGGAATACAGGTGTGAAGAAGTGAATGCACTCGTATGACATGCTGAATAGCAACATTTCTTCACTTCCTTGTTCCTTCTCAGACAAAAGCAATCACGTGACCTGAGCACCTTGTTTAGGAGAAAGGACTCCAGTAAGTGCTCTGCTGTTAGACTTGCCACCGATCTCAGGGTTTCTTCTGCGATCCAGAGCAGTCTATGACATATCCAGCAAGACAGCGATATTGCAAATACAGTGAAATATTACAATGCAATATTAAAGCTGTGTAACTTAAACTCTGATTAAACCTTAAAAAAATTAATAAATTAAGACTTTTTCAGCCTTACCTTATATTTCTGAATGTTACTCTTCAACAGACTGACCTCCTCTTGAACTTGTTTGAATCTCTCTTGCAAGTATCTGCAATACAACAAAAACACGAAAAACTCAAAATTGTGTAGCAAATCAAAACTGTTTATAATTCAGCCTGTACAATAAAAAGGAACCCCCTCCCCCCCAAAGCCTAATGAAAACCAGTTTTGAATGCTTTTTTACATGGTTTTTGTGGTCACTAGATAATAATGGCCGGTCTAAAGGACTAGTCAGCAGCTGGAAGGGTAGTTAGACCTGGTAGTCCACTTTAAACCAGCAATAAACCAGCTAACCATGTTGGAAAAACCACTATGAACACTTTAATATGGCCATTTCTCTTGTGGTTCTTCACTAGGGAGCCTCAGCAAACATTAAAGGGGTCTAAATATGACAATTTTTTTTTAAATAAGACAAAAATAAGCTAATATATATATATACACACTTTTTTATATTCAATATTTATGTTAATCCTAAAACAATCTGTAGCTGGGAAATTACAAAACATCTTGAAAAGTCAAACTCATTGGTTAAAAATAGTGGGTAAAATAAAGCAATAAGCCCCGTGAAGCCGTGGTTTACAGGGGCGTTGTTAGGCACGGCGTGAAGCGGAGTTAGCTGTTATTAATAAAAACGGTATTCTTCCACCAAACAATGTAGTTCCTCAGAAACAGTTGTGGTTGCAACAAAGTGGTTGCAGAGCAGCACACAGAAGTAAACAAAGGTGTATGTTTGTAGAGTAATTTACAACAGCTTCGAACATGGCTCAGCCAATCAGAATCAAGCACCGGAAATCTCCGTTTTATAATTGGGAGTAAAAATTCTGTAAGTTACTAACATACAGAAAAGTCAAACTTGATGGTTTAAAAAGCGGGATCCCAGAAGAACATTCAGCTCTTAAAAACTTACTTTAACTGTAATTATAAGTTACTTCTTTTCTATTTTATCTATGGACAAACCTAATTTCTGTAAATTTAAAAAAAAAAAAAAAATTTTGAAATCAAAACTCATTACAGCAGATATACTAGAGCAAACCTAGCCGACATGTGGAGGCCTTCAAAAAACACACAATGAGGAAGCCTTGGAGTCAAAATGGTTGAGAACCACTGCATTACACATAACGAAGATCTGACGAGCGACATTAACACTCCCTGACTTGTTCTCCATGCAGAGCGCGTCCACATCGATGATACGCTTCTCCTGGCCGCCCAAGATGTGGTTCAGCTCGAGGTTGAGACGTTCAGCCTTCTCCTTAAACACGGTCCTCTCTGCCTTTACATCCTGCAGTTCATCGCTCAGCGTCTTCAGACTGTGTTCAAGCTCTTCTCTCTTAAAATAACAGTGCCAGTGGATATTCTCACAAAGTGCTGTATTTGAATTACTATCACATACTGAAAACATGAATAGGACACCAGAGAGATCATGAAAAATATGTTGTTCTTATTCACTTGAATTGCAAGAAGTGCAATAAAAGAGGATGGGAATCATATAAAACCTAAATGTATAAAGACGCACATGCAGTGCTGCCTTCTCCAGCTGCCTGACCAGATCCTCGCGCTCGTGAGCAGGGAAATGTCTGACCCCGACTTCATCGTCCCCAAGCCTCTGTTTGGTGATGGTCATTCTTAACAGCTATGAAGGGAAGATGACAGCAGGGAAGTGAAAAGCTTATTATAGATTTGTATATCAATTTGTCCATGTATTTTCATGCAAATTTTGGGATATTGCATTAAAAAAAACAATGGATGAAAACTCCAAGACGTGCATAAAATCTTAACATGCACCTAAAAACCTACGCACTCAACTGAGGTGGATAATTTTTATTTGTCCATGTATTTTCATGCAAATTTTGGGATATTGCATTAAAAAAAAAACAATGGATGAAAACTCCAAGACGTGCATAAAATCTTAACATGCACCTAAAAACCTACGCACTCAACTGAGGTGGATAATTTTCTAATTATGTAAAAAAAAATTAAATGCACATAAATAATGCAATGCACATAAAATGCAAAGGAAACACAGCTACCAAATAAATTCTTGGATGTGCAACAAAAAGCCCATGTGACCTTGCCACAACATATCATGTGATTGGATAACTGGACTAGCCAGTGTCATTGCACACCATCTCAAATATTGTTATAGTTGTTCTGAAACGCCTAAACCAAAGTCTGCCATCAAAATGATTTGGTATAATTACCTACCAGTACTATCTCACACGATTGCACACCCAAACATCAGGACATCCGAATGCAAAAATAACACAACAGGGTTTGTTTATCGTGTGTGGAAAAAAAGTTGCATGCTTCCTCATTTCCAGCAACTTTCTATTATTTTATTACTGATACTTTGTGCCATTTTCCCAGGAAGTGACAATGTTGTGCTATTGAACACATGGGATGGAAGCGCTGCTTTATTCACAAATGTTTTATGCAATATTGCAATTTTTTTGCACAAGCTAATTCACATCTTTGGATGGAAACATAGCTGTTTTTGAATAGTTTTATGGGTACCTTATTGTCTCCCTGTGTCTCGCTGAGTCTCTGAGTCAGTTCCTTTATCTCGTCGGCTAGCTTCTTGTTTCTTTCCCTCGAATCCATTAACAACTGAGCCAGATTGACCTGAGAGAGAAAGAGACGGAGAGAGAGACAGAAATGCCGAGAGAAGGAGATAGTAATTTCCTGCAAGAACTTGAAAAGTGAAATATCACAATCATCACCTGATTACGTTTTTCCGGTGGAAGTGAAGAGTCGCCATCCTGAAATTCATTATAAAACATACTGATGAACTATGAAGCCAAGAAACCTTTAAATAGACATAATAACGCACAGTAAGCATGCAAAGACACACAATGAGTTCTCTGTATTTCTTCTTCAAGCTCTGGTGTGTCTCTCGCAGCTGGTTGGCCATCAGTTTGTACTGGTCTCTCTCCTGCTGACAGCTGTCCAGCTCTTTGGACAGAATGAGGAGCGCGTCCTTCTTGCTCTCCAGCTTACGTTTGCATATCAAGAACTGCAGAAATGAGTCACAAAAGAAAAAATAATTGCAAAAATAAAAGCATTATAATTAAGCTATATTAGATAGATTAGACAGAAAGACTGATAGATGGATGGATGGATCACTTTTTTTTAGACTACTACATCACTTTTTAGGACTGGGATGTGACAACATTTCCTTGAATAAATAACACATTTCATCTAAACTGGAAACGAGAAAACAATTCAGCAAACCAATATTAATTCATGACATTTTGGCTATTTATCGTTGCCTTTATTCAGAATAAATATTAGCAAAATCTAAAAATTTAGCCGGTTAAAATTTGGCTGGTTTGACACAGAATGACCAAATTATAAATTTCTCCAATTCAAATGATAAAATTTACTCCAATACTCTAATCTTTGTTTTATTTACAACCTAAAAAAGCTAAAAAATAGGGGCAAGTCGTGGCCTAATGGTTAGAGAGTCGGATCTAAAAATTTAGCCGGTTAAAATTTGGCTGGTTTGACACAGAATTACCAAATTATAATTTTCTCCAATACTCTAATCTTTGTTTTATTTACAACCTAAAAAATAAATCATATATATATATATATATATAATTTTTTTTTTTTTTTAAGTGATCATTTCACTAGTGGTTCTTCATCAACTTCAAAGATGACTCAAACAAGCTAAAACAACTAATTTTCTGAAATTTGGTTGATTTGACACGAAATGACCCAATTATAATTTTCTCCAATTAAATTTTTTTAAATGTACTCCAATCTTTGTTTAATTTACAACCTCAAAAAAATTATTATTTATTTATTTATATATATATAATATAAATGTATATTAAAAATATGTATTTTAAAATGTCTGGTCATTTCGCACTTTGGATGGGTAAATGCAGAGCACTAATTCCAAGTATGGGTCACCATACTTGGCCACATGTCACGTCACTAAAATAAATCATATATATATATATATATATATTTTTTTTTTCAAAGTGATCATTCCACTAGTGGTTCTTCATCAACTTCAAAGATGACTCAAACAAGCTAAACCAACTAAAAATCGATATGTTTCTAATTTTAATTCACCTTTTCATCAACTTTTTCTCTTTTTTTTCTTATAATAACACGAGGATCCCCATGTTCTTGGAAAATATAGTCCATCTATATGAGGTACTTTTTAACCCGTTTAAACATATCTAATTTGAGACCGTTTTGATGATAAACCTGACCCTTCCGACAGCCCCAAAAATGTGTATATATATATATATATATATATATATATATATATATATATATATATATAAATATAAAAAAAATGTTTTAATGTCTGGTCATTTCAACAGTGGGCCTCAGCCAACTTCAAAGATGACTCAAACAAGCTAAACCAACTAAAAATCGATATGTTTCTAATTTTAATTCACCTTTTCATCAACTTTTTCTCTTTTTTTTCTTATAATAACACGAGGATCCCCATGTTCTTGGAAAATATAGTCCATCTATATGAGGTACTTTTTAACCCGTTTAAACATATCTAATTTGAGACCGTTTTGATGATAAACCTGACCCTTCCGACAGCCCCAAACCTCTCCACTAAAGCACGCATCTGATTTCCCCGAGTAACAAACGCGTGTGTTTTGTGCATCTCTTCTCTGTTGAGTGCAGGTGGCTGGCGATGCAGTGCCATATGGAAACAGCCATCATCTTCATGTTTCAGCAAAGCAGCACTCACCTCGTTCACTAAACCTTGCCAGTCACTTTCACTTCGTCTGGACGAGGTCATCTCTGCCCGCGTTTGGCGATGATATAACGTTTGCAAATCCTAAGCTTCCGCGAGCTTTATGAAGACCGAGAGCAGAAACTTCTCCCTTCTTCCTCTCAGCACTGTTTACTCTCTCGGTCAGCTGGTGCTCAAGATCCGGGTCTGTGAAGCTCTGACCCGGCAGCGAGATGCACGATATCAGTGCGGGCGTGGATGAGAAACTGGGAATTTTCAATAGCGAATTGATCAAACAATGTGCAATACAAGGGAGTTTCTTTTTATTTTAAAGCGGCGCTGAACATATCCAACCAGTGGATGGAGAAAAACACAAATTAAGAGAAACGTAAGAAGAAGACAAAGGTCTGTTGAGAGGAATAGATCTACATTTGTTTTAAATCAGATGAGCCATTATATATTTTGCACATTGTTTGCATAATAATAACAACTTTCTTAACACATAACAACAATAAGGTTTATCTACTGCACAGCACTGAATGTATTCGAAATCGTTCATTATAGTTCGTGAGGGGACATGTTATACTTGTCACATTATAATGCATTACCTAACCAATCAAAAGGTGTGATTATGATTCATTTTGTATATGACATTATCATGAGATTTTCCTGCCAATCCCAGGCTCACCAGGTTATAAGGCACTTTTTATATAGGTTTTTTTTGTCTCTAAAAACACTAAACAGCACCACAGCAGGTCTCACATCGCACTGAAAATTTTTCATGATCCATGAGATAAATTGCATGCAAGTACAAAATATATTAAAACAATGTATTTATATATTTTTCAAATTTATGTTGCAGATTTATGTAACAAAACATTAAATCATCTGTGTTTTAGTAACTGAGAAAAAAACCAAAAACTGTTTAAAAGCTGTACTGTGTAAATGTTCAGTATTTATGCTCAGTCACTGTGTTGCAATGACTGCAAAATGTTATGTCAGATCTTAACGTTCATGACGCCGAATTTATGTCCATACGAACACTTTCCCTGGAGTGCCATCCTCTCTCTTTGGCAAAAATATACACACTCCCAAAGAGATCAGGAAATAAAGCCATCAGGTTGATTGTCACAGCATCAGCTTTACTGTGGAGAGAATGACATAAAACACAATTATTGCGCAAGAAAGTCTTAAAACTGAATGAGTTTTTTTATACAATTCTTTGATACTTCTCTCCTGCCTGTTGATCATTCTTGATCAGTTGCTAATTTATTTGTACTGCGTCTTGCATTGTCAACATTGCATTACCAGCCCAGGATTTGATATGCAACATTTCCCTGCAGTTATTCCTGTAACTCACTAATGCTCGTGCAGGTTGCGTATAAATCGCAGCAGGCCCAGTGTGTTCTCAGGATAGGCTTTCTTCTTACCATCCAGTTTCTGCACAAGCTCAGAAGGCAACTGTGAAAGCCATATTTTGACACTGAACAATGCATTTCTTAATAAACTTCAACAATAAAAGCAAGGTCAATTATGTTGCATAAAATAAGCAATAACAGCTGGTTTTTAAAATGATTGACTTACTTCAGTCTTCCATTCAGAAAAGCTCTTCCCCTCACTGTATTTTGCAATGGCATTAAGGAGCTCCTCATCTGCGTTACGGCAGTTTTCAGCCTCTTTCTCGTTTCCCAATATTTTGAGATACTGCACTCTCCTGAGACGATTTCAGAAACATATTACAATCAGCTGTATCATCTATTCTATAGAGTCTAAGAACTACATACAAATAAATTGTGATTGAAAACAGATTGTTTTAGGCTTAAAAGGAACATATTGGGAGCAATGACTCATGGCTCGGACAAATTCATTCAAGCTTTGTACTGTATTTCACCTGTCAAATGTCATCAAGATCACATTATACCTATCATCAGTCCAGAAGAAGGGGTGTGCGAGGGTTTGCTCCACAGTTGGTCTCTCATTTGGATTTTCGTTGATCATCCACTCGACGAGATCCTTCGCTACGTCATCATCCAGATGCTCCAGTGAGTATCTTCCTCGTGAAATGTTGTACTCACAATCCACATCTTCACCAAATGGATGTTGTCCTCCAGAGAGAATGTAGTAGACTAACATCCCAGCAACCTTCAAACAGCTTACAGTGTTAATTCAGAATTAGTCAAGTTTTTTGCTAACTTTGAGTTAATTCCAACGATGGCTTGTTTGATGCCACCTTCTTGGGATACTTGTCTCATCAGGCTGTGTGAACGGCTGCACACTGGAATTTGATTCCTCAATGGATGACACTACAGTGTCTGGAAATGGTTCTTCTTTACCTTCACCTTCTTGTGATCCCACCTCTTGCTGGATTTTTTTCTTCTTTTTCTTCTTTTTCTTCTTCTTCCTGCTTGTTGATAGAGCTGCAGCCTCTTCACATAAATTATCCACTGCACTCGAACCTGCTGGATGCCTCAGTGATTCATCCAACTTTTGCAGTTTCTTTTTCATGACTTCATCCATCTCTATCTCTGCAGTGTTAAGTATCATCTCTGGGATAGAGGGCAATGCTACAAGTTTAGGAGCAATGTCATATATATAGGCAAACAGTCCGTAGGTCCAAACTCTAATCAGACTTGAATAATCAGGACGTGTGAGAGGCAATAGACTTTTGCACAACTTCTCATAGACGGAAAGGTTTAGTCCCAGTTTCTGCTCAGACGTCTTCTGCATCATGACATTGAGTATCGTAAGAATCACCTGATTGATTATTGCTCCTTGTGCATTTCCAGAGTGCTGAAGACTTTTTGTTAGAATTGACACAAGATCACTGAATACCAGAGCAGAAATGCTTTCACTGACACACAAAGCAGCATATAAGCAGTTCAGTGCATTTGGGCAGTGTTTCTGAGGGATTTTTGGGAAGCGTTTGATGACTCCCTCAATGTATCTGTATGCACTCTTTGTGTCTTTTAACCACTTGATGGCGCTCTGACGATACTGATCTGCACTTGGACCAATGACACCAAAATACACCTCAAACAAAATTGTATGAATGAAAGGATGCTCTTGAAATAAATTTTCCTTATAGATTCTGAAAACTTCTATCTCCTTTTTCGTTCGTACAGCAAAAGAAAGAGAGAAAAACAGATGCACCTTCTCAAACACTTGACTCTGTGAAGACAATCGACAAATAATTTTCTCCACTTTTTTATCAAGCTCTGGATTCACCCCATAGTTCATTTCAGGTGAAGCTCCAGCCTCTATAAGTGCTTTCACAATGTCTTCACGATCACGATCAACAGCACATTGTAATGGAGTGAACAACTGAAATCCATCTGGATCAGCTTTTGCTGCAAGTAATCTTTTCACAATACTCAGTGGAACCCCAGTTGTAAATGCAGCGTAATGTAGAGGAGTTCGTCCACTTGTTGAGGATTTGTTTGGATCAGCTGACTCTTCAAGTAGATAAGAGCAGATTTCTTCGTTTCTGCATAAAACTGCTGCAGATAATGGAGTAACATCATCTTTCCAGTCTTCAGAAGGGTACAGTCCATTAATATCTCTGCCTCTTATTAATTTGCGAAGTCTCTCTGCCTTGTTGTCTATGATGCATTTTATTAGAGGGTCTGTTTTTCTAGGAACCGCTGGAATTGGAATTGGAAGTGAGATCTGGAATGCCATGGACCTTCAAATGTTCATTACAGTCTGTGGAGAGATGTTAAACACCATTGTCATTATGAACATTTAATACATCTCATTCTTTAATGGTTTTTTATAAGTAGATTCAATTTTTCCTTTCTCTTTGGAGTGTTACAAGCTCTTGGTGCATAAAGAAGATCTGTAAAGTTGCAAAGACTAAAGTCTCAAATCCAAAGAGATATTCTTTATAAAAGTTGAGTCAACCACGCCCCCACATGTCTACGTCATTGTGTGGTAAGATTTGCATAATGCTGCCCAAATGTTCACGCAAAGAAAGAAGGTGTAACTTTTATTCTCACTGTAGTATTGTTGCTGTTGTTGCCGCCGCCATGTCGTGAAGACACCGTGTGTTTTCGTTGTGAAAGCGAAACTACTTTGTTTGGTCTTCCAAAAGAGGATCGCCAGATCGGCTTTCACCGTGGACGAAGCGGAGTCCAGCCCGGGGTCGTCACATGTGGTTGCCGCAAGCCTCCTTCGTCGAATCTGCTGGACGCACCGTTCTCAAGCTCACCGGCCGCCGCTCACTCTAGACCGCCGTGTGTGACGCTGTTTCGTTGTGAAAGCGA